ACCACCACTAGTAAGTAATAAATAGGAACCACATCACCACCACAATGAGAGCAGTAACAATGAAAACAACCATTTCAGTTCTTACCATGGGCTACATACATGTTGGTCAGAGTGATTTACCTGGATAATCCCAATTAAATCTCACTCCACCACTACTAGAGTATATAATATTATCACCACCAGAGAGAAGAGGAAGGGCAGATGTGGAGAGGTCAAGCCCTGTGGAGGTCCACAGACAGCAATGGCAGGGCTCTTCAACAGGCAACCTGACTCTAAAACCTACACAATGTTTTTTAAGTTTATTTGATTATTGTGAGAGAGGGAGAGAAAGAGCCAGTAGGGGAGGGGGAGAGAGAGAAAGAAATCCCAAGCAGGCTCCACGCTGTCAGCGCAGAGCCGGATGTGGGGCTCAAACTCATGAACCATGAGATCATGACCTGAGGTGAATTCAAGAGTCGGATGCTCAACGGACTGAGCTACCCAGGTGCCCCTAGAACCTACTCCATTAACCAGACGGCAAGGTGTCACCGTGCCTTTAGTCTAGCCCTTCTATGCCTGATGGAGGCAGATCTGTCCAAGAGGTGATCACCATAAAGTTTCTTTCAATGAATCAGCATAACACAGTAAGCATAAGACGTTTCAGTTTATGAGTCATTTGAGTTACTAGAACATGTCTTCTAGAATTATGAAATTTTAATATCATGAAATCCTAGTAGCTAAATCTCTGAATAACTGATGATCATACCTTATATTTTAAAGGTGAAAAGATCGTGGGAAAAAAGCTAGGTAAAACACTCCCAAACCACTAAAATACATATAGTTTTACCTAGGATTCTAAGAATGTTTAATAGCTATAAGACTGATCTAAGCAGAAATCGCTGTTATTCATTAAGGATCAAATCACTGGGATAATGTTGAAAATAATTTAAGACATTATAAAAATTTTTATATTAAAAAAAGATGTACTGGGGCGCCTGGGTGGCGCAGTCGGTTAAGCGTCCGACTTCAGCCAGGTCACAATCTCGCGGTCCGTGAGTTCGAGCCCCGCGTCGGGCTCTGGACTGATGGCTCAGAGCCTGGAGCCTGTTTCCGATTCTGTGTCTCCCTCTCTCTCTGCCCCTCGCCCGTTCATGCTCTGTCTCTCTCTGTCCCAAAAATAAATAAATGTTGAAAAAAAATTAAAAAAAAAATAAAAAAAAGATGTACTGAAAAAGCACTCAAAGACTAATAGATTCCCGCAACTGGATACACAATATCATTTAATAATAGTGAAGCATTTTTCATAATACACTTGATACTTATAAAAATACATATTAATCAGAATTTCAGTATTTATCCAAATCTGGCCATAAGAGGTTTATAGCAGATTATATATCATTACCATCGCCACACTAGCATGTTTCAAGTTAATAGCATATAATTATCTGGCTTGATATGTGGAAGTCATATTATATCTAATCATCTAAAATTGAGTCAAGGGCCATTATAGAAATACCCATATAAAATAATATCTCATTCATGGAAAATGGGTTCTGAAATCCCCCTGGAAAGGCCATCCCACCAAAGGCTGCACAAAAACACAAAGAAGTTTTAATGCAATATCCAATATGCCCAGATGCAATGGAAAATACGGGTAGAGAGGCAATGCTATATTTGGCACTGCACGTGTCTTTCTTTTTTTGAGAGAGGGAAGGAGAGAGGGAGCGAAGGAGGGGCAGAGAGGGAGGAAGAGAGAAAATCCCAAGCAGGCTCTGTGCTGTCAGTGCATTTCGAGCTCACGAACTGTGAGACCACGACCTGAGCCGAAACCAAGAGTCAGAAGCTTAACTGACTGAGGCACCCGGGCTCTCCTCTTTATTTCTTTTTTAAAATCAAGAGTTTTCCTTCTCCAAACTAACTTTCTTTCCTCCTCCTTCATTTCCACGTTCTCTCTATTCTCACACTATGTTTATACTCTGACAGTCGGTTAGTCCTCTTAGAAACTCATTCGGCCGTATAAGCTTTTGATCTTAGAGAAAGAATAAAGATAACTTTCGAGGATGTTATCTCTCAAACTCTCCACAATTGCAAGACTAGTTTTTCCCCCTAATCCTTCCAGGACTGATAATTTAGCAAAATACAATAAGGTATTACCAAAGGAATGAAATGAAAAAAGAAACAAGAGAGGGTGTAAGCCCCATTTCTTAGAATTATTACCTGATTTAACCAACCTGAGATTGACTATGGACCGGTAAAAGTTTCTAAACACTTAAAACTTCTCTGCTCAGCTCATTGTGGATGGGTAACCAAGAGGCTGCAGACAGGCTTGGGCCCAGGAACCACACGCACTGAGGAAGCTCTCCTCTCGCGAGAAACCTCACATGCCTCCTTCCGACCTTTAGGACCTGCTTCTCTATGGAGAAGAGGCTGTGGTGCCTTATCTTTTTCTCCCATAGTTCTCAGAAGACTCTGTTCTTGACAAACGCAAGCTCCAGAAGCAAACAGGCCTTGGCTGCGTTATGGTTCATCTCATTACTACAGTCTAGGACTACTGAATTCATTAACACGATCTCTTCAACTCTTTTTTTCTTTTTATCCCTTTACTCAAATAATCAGCACATGCAGGAACATAATTCTTCCTTTGAGGAGCGTTAAAGTTCTGGAATCTGGCATATAAGTAACATCCCTCTAACAACACATATTATCTGGGGTAAGCCAACTTTTATCTTGTAGCTACCAAATATATCAGAATTTTATAATTCAGGTATTTTTACACCAAAGGCAAAAACAAGTGTGAAAAGATTAATAGATCTGGTCCCATTACATTTTAGTTTAAAAAATGAGAAGCTGGAAGTTTACCTATGAAATATTATAAAAGTTTACAAACCTTAATAAAAGAAATAATAAAGAAAAACACTGCCATGGAAGAAAAAATGATGATCTTCTCAATTAAAAAATATATATGATAGCAATAAAATCTTGTACCTACTAAAATGACAATTTTTACAAAGATAGTACCCAGAGGCACCTGAGTGGCTCAATCGGTTGGGTGACCGACTTCGCCTCAGGTCCAGATCTCACGGTTCATGAGTTCAAGACCCGCGTCGGGCTCTGTGCTGACAGCTCAGAGCCTGGAACCTGCTTTGGATTCTGTGTCTCCCTCTCTCTCTGCCCCTCCCCTGCTCGCGCTCTGTCTCTCTCTCTCTCAATAACAAATAAACATTAAAAAGAAAAATTAAAAAAAGAAAGAGATTACCCAGTGTGTACATGCTAATACACAGCCCTTGTGTAAATATATAACAAATCTGTAAAAGAGTCTAAAAATTTACTTAGCAATTCAGGCTTAAATTTATTCAAAGGAAATAATTAAAAATGCACATAAAATATTCATGGCATTGCTCTGGACTTCTAACAAAATGGGAATTATTAAATAAGATACATATATGAAACTACGCAATCATTAAAATGATGCTATACAATCGAGTTTATTGATGTGAAAATATGTTTACAATATATTGTTACTGAAAAGAAACAGGTTGCAATATTATATTATACAATATGGTCCAATACTACATATCTGGAAGAATATTAAAGTCATAATAGTAAATATGAAACATTATTTTTCTTGTTTTCTAATTTATTTGCAATAAACAACTATTTTAACGTAATGAAGAATAAAAGATATAAAAGAGATAAAAACTACAAAAAGAATGCCTTCAATCAAAAAGTAGTGATAAGGGATTTAACTGAATTGTGGCTTGGCACCATTATTAAGAGGCTGAATGTGATTAAACTGATTTGTAGTGAAAAGATATTAGGAGAATATTTAGATTATAAGAACTTCCATTATTTTACAGACACATTTGCATGACAATAATCTGCCAGTTACATTTACGCCTGTGTGTTCCTGAAAACAGTATTGACAGCATTAAATTTTCAGCTATTCTTTCATCTGTCCTGCATTTGGGGTATGTTTGGTCTATAGTTTCAAACTTAGAGCCCAGGGACTGGTCTTTGGAAGCAGTATCTTGAAGATGCATTGAGTGGTTGTCAATTTAATCTCTTGGTCATTGGTAGGTCATTTAGTTAACACATATCACATACTGTACTTCTAGAGCTACGATAATGACAGTGAAGAAAACAGCCCTTTTAAAAAGGTTGGCTGAGGGGCGCCTGGGTGGCGCAGTCGGTTAAGCGTCCGACTTCAGCCAGGTCACGATCTCGCGGTCCGGGAGTTCGAGCCCCGCGTCGGGCTCTGGGCTGATGGCTCAGAGCCTGGAGCCTGTTTCCGATTCTGTGTCTCCCTCTCTCTCTGCCCCTCCCCCGTTCATGCTCTGTGTCTCTCTGTCCCAAAAATAAACGTTGAAAAAAAAAATAAAATAAATAAAATAAAATAAAATAAAATAAAAAGGTTGGCTGGTAATGCCACACCCCAGCAGTTTTAGCACGTATCACACTCCAGCCTCTTACATCATAACTTTGGGTTTGTCGTTCCTTTTTTATTTAAAAAATTTTTTTTCTTTTAATGTTTGTATTTATTTTTGAGACAGAGAGAGACAGAACAAGAGCAGGGGAGGGGCAGAGAGAGAGAGACACACACAGACAGAGTCCGAAGCAGGCTTCGGGCTCTGTGGACACGGGGCTCGAAACCATAAACTGTGAGATCATGACCTGAGCTGAAGTCGGACGTTCAACCAACCGAGCCACCCAGGCGCCCCTGTCATTCCTTTTTTAAAATTGATAGAGGCAGAGGCGGAAAACTTCAACGTCACAGGGAATGTTAGAGCTTTTGAAAAGAACTTCAGAGACGATTCGGTCTGACCCTTGAGGTTATAAATATGGAAATTTAGGCCCAGAGAATAGGTAAGTGATGAGCCAAAGCAGAACCAGGGATCCTGCCTCTAAGCCCAGTCACTTTCTATCATCATTTACTCCCTACACAGAACACAGGGCTCTACTTTAGAAGGTAACTACTGGACTCCAGGATTAATGAAAAGGCTAGTGTCAGTGTGTATACAGACCTTGCATCTGGTAACTATACGGTGCCTGTCCAGGTTGAGGCGTACCAAAGCTTGTGCCATAGCTGAGAAATCCCGTCTGTCCCGGTGACTGAGACTGTGACAATCCACCTTCAGTCTTGATGCCTGCCCACAATGCACCTAAATCAGTTAATGACAGCTTATCTATATGTTCATTTCAAAAGCTGGTAAACACCCCCCCCCAAACACTCCCACAACTGTTCAGTCACAAATGCTTCCCGATATTATCTCCATAACCAAAGGTATGCAAGCTTAGAGTGAAATACCCTAACCTAGAACTTCAATGAAAACAAAACGAAACAAAACAGGAGTATTACAGATTTGAGTGACTATTCCCATTGTCCTTTGTTTTTCCGATTTACCTTTTCTATAAAATTTAACTCCGGTGATACGATTTCTAGACTTAGTTTTGTTGTTTTATAAGAGGTTAAAAGACGATCTCCTTTAGAAAACAGTAATAGCCATAATTAAACTTCAACTAGATTGTTCTAAAAGTCACTGCGTAGATTAGTGTCAAAAATCAAAATTCTCTTTTCTAAGAGGAGATTAGAGTCTCTAGCCTCACAGCATTTTTTTTTCTTTTTTTCTTTACTCTTTCTGCCACAAAGATGATTTTAGCACTCAATTCATTTTGAAGTCAGAGGGAACAATATTGGGCACAGAACCAAGCAACACAGGGGAAAATCTTCTCCCAACCACCCGATCCCACCAGAAAGCAAGCACGAAGCTAGGAGGATATTAAAGAACTGTATCATATAGAACAGCATAGTGATTTACAAACAAGTAAAGCTGACCAATAATTCCCTTTCTGTCCCTTATAGTTTCAAGCATTTATTCCAATATTATTGTTTTAAGTGTAGCCTAAAGTACGCTTTCTTTTTTATCATTGTAATATAAAAATCATGTGTTTGTGGCCTCCAAATACTTCCCAGAATGCCAGGCTGACATCCGAATTTTAGGACTTGGGTTTGGCAGTATTGTTGTGCAGGGCTCAGCACTGGATTGTAATTAAAGACAGTCATGAAAGTTAACAAGGGTCCTTAATTTCCACACAAGGAAGAGAGCAAGTCTTCTGCCAAGCGAATCCACATTTTTGAATAATTTCACTTTGCACTTAAGATAAATGATATCTTTGGGATCTAGAAGACACAGCAGTCTCACAGTTTATTCCATTTTAGGGGAATTTCATCAGTAGAATGAAGTTAGGTAACTTTCCTGAGGCAGTGGAAGAATCTGACTCTTGGCTGAGGGAGCCTACAGTAATTCCTGGCGTATCTCTACATAGCCTCATGATGATCTTAACATTTATGTCTTAAGAGAAGCTTAACACTTAACAAAATGTGACTTTTCCCCGCACAGGCAATCCCAAACCAAGAAGCAAACCCGTCCTTATCAATGGTCCCTGGAAAGACACCTGACCCGGCCAGGTGGCTTGATGGGCTCAAGAAACTCCCTTTCTTTCCATGTGGTCACCAACAGGGATTTCCCCCTGCTCTGTCTCCATTGGGGGTTCTATTAATCTGCTTTGAGTCTTCCTGTACCACCTCTGGTGTTAGCCTGGAGGCTCAATCTTTGTGATGAGAACAGATAAGGAAAAGCAGGAAGAGGTAGAAAATACCCTCAGCTGCACCTGTCTCCGGGGCTTCCACCCACAAGCCTGCAAACTCATCATACTGCTCGGCTCTATGCCAATCCAGAGAAGAGCGTTAAGCTCTCTTCTCCACTGATGTATTATTCCCAGTATGAAAAGATTTGCCTAGCTTTTCTTACAGGGTCTAAGTAAAAAGCCAGGGGGCACAAGTCCTGGGAGAAAGTCTTCTAAGACCATCTGGACCTTGACTATCAGCAGTTAAAAACCCTGACCTACGTGTTCTTCCTTCACAAGCAAGCAGAGGGGAGATGGCGGTCGTACTTTTCAATGCGCTGGCCCAGGAAAAATAGAATGCCTGGTCAGAAGCACTGGGAGCATCTCTTTGTACTCAAGGCCCCAAAAGAGAAGGAAGACAGTGATCAGGAAAATGCTGAGGACTCAGGAGATTTACAAGCACAGATGGCCCTGGGGTCAAAGCCCTCGACACGGAGCCTTGCCCTTACCATCTCCCGACCCCCACCTCTCCCATTAAAATCCCTATCCTCACTCTACCAGTTCTGATTTGAACCTCAGAACCTCTGCTCCTGGAACAATTATCTCAGACAATAGGGACATCCACAATGGTTCAGTACTGGAAGGGTCCTAGACCACAGCCCGGAAAGTGGCAAAGGGCCCTACCATAATTGAATGGAGAGGAGAAGTAACAAGAGAGGAGCTGTGTGAGTGGCAGTCGAGGCAATGGCATGAAGGGCACCCTCTCCCGGCAGGCCTGGTAGGCCTCCAGCACTTTCACGTTGATTGCACCGGAAGATACATTTACACTTCAAATAATCAGGTTACAAATACATTTTGAGAATATAAACTGGGGACTGCCTCAACTCACATCATAGTGTTGAAGCTATGGAATTCAAATCCGAGGTCCTTTTTCCCCATTTAGCACGAGAATTGGTTAAGAGTTGATGGCAGATAAAATTGATCTATATCTAACATTATTTTCAGCAATCTTGCATAAAAGTTACAGAAATGCAAGACAGTTCTAGGAAGTCTATCTTATGGTTGTTTCTAAAATCTGGCTTAAAAATGCCTAGCTGGGAAAAAAAAAAAAAAAAGAACCTAACTAAATAACATTCAGTTCTGGGTAATTTTGAAATGAAACCATAAAGGGTGAAATCATATATAATTTACATTTTAATTTCGGTATATTTTATAAGAAATTTATGTATAGTCGATTTGGTTTGGGGTAAAGGTAGAAAATAAAGAAGGAATAAAGTACTTTGCCTTCTAATTATTAATGAAATGCTTAAAGAACATTATTTCTTTCAATATACTGCTATAAGCACAGATTTATTTATCAGTCCTTTCCTCCAAGCTTCCATGTACGTTTTCTTGATCGCTAGATTTTTTTCTTAAGGAACATTTCTTAAGGAAATGTTAATTCTTCCTACTCAAAGTGCAATGTGTTTAAAATTGCAATTGCAATTCGATTGAAGAAAAGGTATCTTGAAATTCTAAGATTTCTTAAAATTAAACTTTGGGGTTTTGCTGGATTTCTTTTTAATTTACAGGTATTGACCCTTTAACAATGGAGTTAAATTACACCAAGATAAAGGTAATCTCCAGGTGGGAAGGAACAAATAGGGATGTGAGCTTTAAAGGTTTCCTGCTTTGCCTCTTCAAAGGGCAGCCCAAGCTGTGATATATAGATCACTTTTCCTAATGGTTGATAATGCTGAAATTTAAAAGTACTACCAGCCTCACGTTCAGAGCAAAGATTTGTTGAATTCTGTTTGTACTTCCCGAATCGTAGCTAGGCATCTGATAAATAGGAAACGTATCTTTACCCTAAAAGACTTCATTCACAGAAGTTTTATCTCAAATATGCACTAAAATGCTTTGGATTCCACAACCAAGTGCTCAAGCGGCAAATTAAAAGTTGAGCTACCAATGGGGGGGGGGGGGGGAAGGAGAGCAAGACGGCATACGAACCACGCAATCTATCTGCCACTGACGACTTCCAGAGAAGTAGCCGCCGCTTCTTACAAGGCTCGTTGAAAACAATCAGATGAAGAATTTAGACACAAAAGGTGATCACACCTTCTAAAGCGGCCCAAGAGGACAGTCTTTAGGTACCACTCCTATGAACCTTGCCCACACACACAGGCATGCCCATTAGATCCCACCACTGAAGTAACGGGATTACTCACCATATGAGGAAATTCCGTACGGCTGTCCCGGCTGTGGGTATGTGACATATGCTGTGGCTTGTTGCATTCCTGTGGTAAACTGTGTTTGCCCATATGCAGCCATAGTTTGTGAGGAAGGGGTAGGGAGAATATGTGGGTATGGTCTGCTATTTGTCAGAAATGACAGAAAATAGAAAGCCCATGCATTAGATGGAAACATGCAAGGTAACTGATTAACAACCAAATCACAAATTGCAGTTAAAGACGGTCTCTTCAAGTATAACTTCCAAATACAATACACAAAGTACTGAAATACTTCAGTATCTCTTCCAGGTGACGCTCAAAAGAAATTTGTGTCAACACATTTACGGCTCTGTGAAATGCACTTTAGTTTAAATCAAGATGGAACATGTGGGCACAAAACATGACTTGAAATAAGGTAAAAGACTACTCAGAAAAGGCATTTATTGAGAGAAAATACATCTTACTTGGAAGGGTAAATCTGTGGTGGGGAGAACTGGTGAGTTGGTCTTGGGCTGAAGCTACTGCTCCCAATTGCTGGAAAAAAAAAAAAAAGAAAGAAAAAGAACACATAACCGTCAAAGCAAAATACGAAATCAGCGTAAAGCACTGATCTAGTTTGAACGACAGGTAGCCCATACGAAATGCATTCAACCGGCAATTTCATGCGGTCAACCCAAGTGAAAATCTACGGAACAACCTTTGGGAACTGATGAAGTGGTTCTAAGTTTAGATTAGGTCTTAGAAAGTGGTCACAATCATCTGAAATAGCTGGCAGCTGCAGGGTAAGAGGACAAGGAGTCCTGGCCACTGTGCAGAAGGGCCCCGCTCAAAGGGGGGCGGGGACGAGGGTGAATTTGCAGGGCTGGGCGGGACCGAAAGGTCACCTGGCCTATTGTGTGCGCGCAGGGACACACACACACCTGACCCTAGATTAACGGGAAACGCAGTCTAATCTCCTCCCAGGTGAGCAGAAATGGGGCCGCTCCTCATTCGCCTGCGTGAATTTAGCAACATTTTTTAGTAAAAATGCATTCCTACGGCGCTCTTAAATTTCTCAAGTTGCAAGCGAAGCCTGATCTTTCTTGTACTGAGGCAGTGTTCCTGGGCCTTTTTCAGTGAAACGTGCTTAACTTCAGTTATTTAAGTTAAAAAAATAAAATAAAATGTTTTTGTTGTTGTTTAAAGAGGTTATTCAAACATTCAAGCAGAATTTCATTTCTTTTTAATCACATATACGTTACTCAGTAGGTCTCAGAAATGCACTAAACTCTGCCATTCTTTTACACTCGTCCTGAACCAAAACAAAAATCCATTTTTGTTAACATAAGGCCTTAAAATGGTAGTTCTCAGCTTTATTGTAAATAGGGGCGATTTTATGTACGATATATATTACACACACATATACTTATATATACCCACAGCTCTATGTGTTTCCATGTATTCCATATAAATATATGTAAATACCCCTATCCTCCACCCTCCACCTAGCTAAGATGTATTAGTCTTTGGGTACAATTACACGATATAATAGGTTCATCATCTTCTTCCAGTAGTAATCACAGTCTTCAGGGGCTGTATTATTTATGAACTATGCTGCGTATTACAATCCTTCTAAAAGCTTCCATGCGCTCAAAGTCTGATACATTTTTCATAATGTCCCATCAGTCCACGTATACTTCTCAAGCTCAGCTTTCCATTTGGGTTCGGGAGAACAGCGGTAGAGTTGGACCACAATCTGGATCCGGAATGATCCTTTCCTTGTAAAGCAAGCCGGCCTCACGCAGTGACCGCAGATCCAGATTCATACCACTGCTGCATGCCAGCTGCCAGACTTCAGCCATGTGGCTCTCAGTTTGGCAGAGCCGCGGTCCGCATTAAAGCGAGGGCAGGCCAACTCGGCTGGTGTGCCCCGACCTGCGGGCACGTGTTGATTCACTATTCCACACCAGCCGCCGAGCTAGATGCCGCAGATGCAAACACGCAAAGACAAGTTCTGTCTGTCACATGTGGGGAGGCTGACACACAAATAGCCATGGGGGGATTAGTTAAATATTGCAATTTATAGAAGGGAGGGATTAGTGCGAGCACACTTGGACAACAAGGACTACCACCTGCCCAGGTCATCCTTGACTACAGCCTTTCCTGTTCTCTTTCGCTAAGCCTGAAAAGAGACCAAGGGCAAAGTAGATATACCCGGCAGAATAGCTGGAGGAGGAATACCTTCCCTGGACAATCACAATTCAAAACGACTTTAAAAAATAAATAACTAAACCAGAACAAAAACGCAATGCGACCGGATGGTGGAAGCCACAGAAATCCCTTTTATTCTTGCCCAGCTGTCTCCCTGGGTTTTTCAAACTGTGGGTCAGGACCCATGATCACAAACTCAACTTCACAGGTTGCACCCAGAAGTTTTTCACAGGTAAACAGAACAACAGAAGAGACTGTATCAGGCTTATTACACAGGGTGCGGTGAGTTCCGTGAAGCTTTAAGGTTGAATGTAGAGGATAGGTGTGTACACATGAAGAAAGAGATCGGGGGGGGGGGCGCAGCGTGTGGTAATTGAGCACAGGTTCTGGAATCAGAATTTAATTTTGGCTCAGACTGAAGTTCCAACTCTTCTCTTTGATCTTGGTCCACACAACACGATTGTCTGTCCCCATTTTACATATGGGGCATAGAACTTAAGTAACACATTCGAGCAAATACATGGGAAAGGTGGTATTTGAACCCACGACTGCCTGACTCCTTCCATCAAAACATACTATTTCCTGACCTCCTGTGAAGAAACAAGAAACCTCAGAATAATCTCATTTTCCCTCCCTCCATTTCATGAGTCACAAGTCACCCATCCCAAATCCAGATACTGCCTGTTGAGCTGTTCTGCACACGCCATCCCTGCTCCCCTGTCCCGGCTCTCATTAGCCTCTGTCACATTCCCTGTGTCCCATCTGCGGACCTGAACACAATACTGCACTGCCACCACAGTGATCTTTCTTACATGGAAACTTCTTTATGTCCATGTTCCAGCTTAGGAGCTCTCAACTGTGCTCGCGTTATCCCTAGGAAAAATTCCAAATTTCTTGGCAGAGTCCAGAGATTCAATCATCCCCCCTCCCCTGGGTTTAGTAATATGTAGCCTCCTTGGAGTTGAGGCCTGCCCACACATGCCATGCGTGCTCATCTTCGTCTCGGGGGGCTCTTCAGACCAGACCCTCTGCCCTCTAAGGCCTTCTCCCCGCCTGACAAACACTCCTCCAGTGGGACTCAAACATCATCTTCTCGGGGCGCCTGGGTGGCGCAGTCGGTTAAGCGTCCGACTTAAGCCAGGTCACGATCTCGCGGTCCGGGAGTTCGAGCCCCGCGTCGGGCTCTGGGCTGATGGCTCAGAGCCTGGAGCCTGTTTCCAATTCTG